TTACAGGAATTGTAAATTGATATATTTCTTTAGAACTAGTTCTTCAAATAGGTCATATATGTGTGTGTATATTTGTAATACGTGACCTATTTTAACTTTGTCATATGGTAAATTGTCGTTGGTTAGAAATGACTGGTGAGAACAGAGTGGCAAATGTAGAATACTGATTTGTAAATCAGAGTAACTGAGTCCAGGTTTGAGATCTATAATATACTGACTCTGCCAACATGGTACATCACTTAATGTTTCCTAGATTCTCAGTGTGAGATATGGTCAAATTATCGTTCTGTTCACAGAATTTATTGCGTGAACATCAAGAGTTTGGAAATCTCTCTGAATTTTGTCAACATTTGATTGAACCTGTGCTGCAATCCCATGAGGCCACCAGCTGCTGTGTGGGAGAAGTTTAATCCCATGCAATTAACTGCCTCTGAAAACCTTCTGCAGGGTCAGCTGTGGGTTGATTCCGACTCAATAGTACACAATAACAATACCACCAAATTAGTTTTAATCCAACTTCACTTACTGGTCTTGCTCCCTTCTTTCAAAATGAAGTGTTTACCAAGTTCAAAGGAATACATTGCTGTCAACAGAGGCAGATTAAATTTATTTTTAAAAATGCAGATGGGATTTTATAAAACACATTTTACATTTCTTCGTAGAATACATTTCTGTGTTGTGGGAGGTTCAGTATTAAAAATATGGGCTGCAGTTCCAAACTCACATTGTTCAAAACCACAAGTTGCTTCACGAGAGAATAATGGACAGCCTCCTCCTGTGCAATTGACTGCCTCTGAAAACCTTCCGGAGGGTAAGCTATGGGTCAGTTCTGACTCGAAGGCACACAATAAAAATGATACATAAATGGATACCTTATTTACCTCAAAGTGCTTTCAAAACATAATCATATTAGGATTTCATTTCTTTATCTGTTTTATTTTTGGTGGACAACTGAGTTTGTGCTAAGCGTTATCTGTGTCTCAATCCGCCAGTGATGTGATGGTGGTCTAGGGACCTGTTGCGTCTCTCTTATACTGTCCCTAATCCTCTCTTTCTTGTACAGCTTTTCTTAACTTTTTCCGAAGTTGCTCCCAGAAAGCATCCCATTCTGTTCTCTTTTGGGGAAGATTCAAATAGTCCTCTCTTTGAAGCCACCGTGCAAGGCGGTGGTAGCTATGAAGCTGTTTCCGATCAATAGGTTCTAGGAAGAGTAGCAGGAGGTGTGTCGTACCAGGCTTGGCCACTAACAGGTAGGTGGCAAGCCTTAACTCTAGATTGCACCAGAGATTGTCCAGGGCTTGGCGACTGAGCACACACAGGATAGTTCTGCTTGTCTTCAAGCTGTCAGCCATTGTGTCCATCCTGTCTTGCCCAATCTCGAAGTCCCTCTCTGGTATGCATATCCTGAAGCCCTCACCAGATGGAAGAGGCTTCTCCAGAGCAGGAATCAACTCTGCTAGCACCCACTCCTGGTCCTTCTCACAGTAGGATATAAAGACATCATAGGTGTATTGATTTCTGTGGTGCCAGCCACCTACCTTCCAACACCAGGCATGGAATAGGGTCCGGAGGTGGTGCACCCAAGGCCATTTAGGGCAACTAAGTAAGGCAAAAATGATCAGTAGAAGCACCAGAGTGAAGCTGGTTAGAAAGCCCTGAAGTTCAGTATCATCTGGACAGTTACCAGAAAGGAAAGAGAGCAGTGGAGTCTGGGAGACATCAGAGGCGTTGGCCATGCAAATGGATTTTTCTAGTCCATAAACAAAGGTGTTTGGGGCCCGTGCTGCCCAAAGCCCTACCCAAGAGCTTTCACACTGGCAGATGAAGATGACATCTGAGAAATAGACATATTGAGGCATCTGGGGAATGAGTTCCTGGAGGCTACTGTCCAGTCCTAGGGCCCATTCAGAGTTTAACAGCAGCAGACGGAGGAGGCCCACATTCCTGAAACTAGAGAGTGAGAGGTTCCCAATATTCAGGTTGCTCAATACTAGCACTTCTAGATGAGGTAGTTCCTTCAACAACACCTCCAGATTCACTGTGCTCGGTTCAGAAAGTCTGTCCATGTCCCCCAGCTCAAGTACTCGCAGCTGGGGCATCCCAGAGAATTGTATGTCTTCTCTACTATGATCAGACCAGAAGTGCAGATGCTCCAGAAAAGGAAGTCGTGAGAAGAATCTCTGGGATTCTTGGATAGAGAAAACATTTGTGTCACAGCCTCTCAGGGTGAGATGACGTAGAGAAGGGAAATGGATGATAGTTTTGTTTGCGTCTTGTATCACATAACGAGTTTGTAAGGTAAGACTTTCTAAGAGCTTAAATGATTCTCCAAGGGAGACTCTAAATGTGATGGCGACTTCTGACCATGCCTCTAAGCTGAGCAGTGTTGAAGGCCATTCAGAACAAAGCTCTAAAGATGCAAAAGAACCCAGCCATAGGTGACTTAGCTTCTGGGGACCTTGTAACAGCTTGCCAGAGAAAACCTCTATATAAGTTCCGAGGAGGTTTAGTGAGGTGAGAGCAGGAAGAAAGGAAAGCCAACCTAGCTCTAGCACCTTAATTTTATTCCAGCTCAGATCTAGGGTCTTCAGCCTTCTTAGTCCCACTAGGCTTCCATTAGATAAGTTGGTGATGTTGTTACCACTCAGCCAGAGCTCCTGGAGTTGAGGAATAGAGAAAAAGGAGCCAGAAGGGAGAGCATTGAGTCCATTGTAGGACAGATCTAGTACTCTCAGGTTTGAATTGACCAATCCCTGTGGGAGCTCTAAGGTTGGGCCCAATTTGTTCAATGACAGATTAAGCCTTTGAAGCTGTGGCAAGGCATCCAGGAACCTGGTGGGGAGAAAATACAAGCCATTGGCATGAAGGTTGAGGAGTTCCAGGGAGTGGCAGCCTAGGAGGTCCTCATTCTCTATTCTCTGGATTTGGTTTCTTCCAAGGTCAAGTGCATGAAGCTTAAAGTAGGCTGTAATATTTCTAGGAAGTTTTTTTGTGCCTGTGCTTATGAGGGAAAGGGAATTCAGGTAAAATAGTCCTGACCCTATGAGCTCTAATGCACTGAGTGGCGTGCCATCCAGTTTTAGAGAATGGAGTTGGAGGCCATGCAAGCCTCTGATACCAACCCGACTCAGCTGTAGGTTGGCTGAGAGATCCAACACCTCTAGAAATGAGGACTGTGGGTTAGAGCTTCCTTTAGGAATTGAACCAGGGACAAGGCTTGGGAAGAGTCCTTGCAATTCTTGAAGCTCCATTAAACAGCTGTGCCTCATAGTCAGATATCTAAGACTGACAGGCAGTTGGATATTATGGCTAGAATTCAGGCAGTAACCTTGGAATGAGAGGCTGTTGAGAAACTTGAGAGGCTTGAGGGCATCTGGCTGGAGGAACAGGCTCAGGCAGCAGGGTGTGGGAAGCTCAAAGAAAAGATACTCCAGGTGGTCTAATCCTTGAAATGCTCCAGAAGTAACCCTCATGGTGCCCAGCTGCAGCCTCAGCAACTGAAGTGTGGGGAAATGTTCAAAAGCATCAGCTGGTAGGATAGGAACTGTGCCCTGGAGGCATAGTGCCTCCAATCTCCTGGGAAGGGCTGCTAGGGTGTGAGCCAAGTTTTTAACATTGGAGCATAATGCAAAAAGGTGCAGTCCTGGGGCCAAAGAACAGAATGGGATGTAGTAGGAAATATTAGTTAACAGGGAACTGTCTGCTATGGTGCAATCAGGGGTTGTCCAGGCCCAACCTAAGTCTAGGTTCATCAAGAGCAGTAGTAAAAGAAAGAGGATATTGGAGGACAAAAAATATCTTTCCGTTCTTGGCATTCCATGTAGAGAAGGAGCAAAGATTTTTCCATTCTTGATAGTGCTCCTAGAAAAAGAAGAAGAAGAAAAAAGATAGGTGATAATTCTAGACTAGCTCATTCTGAATGACATATACTTTGGGGAATTCTATCACATGTTGTAGATGCTGCTCTGTGATTACGATACAAAGAAAATACTTGACTGATAACTTCACAGACCAGAAGACTCTAGAAGTTGTGCTTACTCATATGAACTTGCCTGCAAGTAGAGATCTAGTAGCGATGGAAAACAGAAAGAGGCTAACGAAAAAAGTTCACAACCTGAATAGATTCCAACAGCAACACTATTAATACTTCCCAGTCTTTCTGCTGGGAGTGGCTAGCTCAAGTGTCTGAAGGGTTTTGTTTTTTGTGCTTTATTTTGTTTTTTCTCTTTTAGGAGAGAAAGTTATCAGTTTATGAGTGGGCTACTTCCAAAACTAGGTAGCAAATATACTTCTTTCATAACAGATAACTGAAAAGTCATACTAGAGAAGACTGGAAGGAAAATAACAGTGGTGATATATACATGAAAAAAACCTCCAGACAGTAGAACTCCCAGCAGGCATTGCCAATTTGGACACCAGCCTGGCCAATGTGGATGGAGCTCTACTGTCTGGAGCACGGCATCCAGCCTGATGGCCAGATGCCAAGTGACAAGACCATTGGGGGAGGAGATGACTCCTTCAACACCTTCTTCAGTGAGACTGGTGCTGGCAAGCATGTGCCCAGGGTGGTGTTTGTAGACCTGAAACCCACAGTTATTGATGAAGTTCGCACTGGCACCTACCGCCAGCTTTTCCACCCTGAGCAGCTCATCACAGGCAAGGAAGATGCTGCCAATAATTATGCCCGTGGGCACTACACCATCGGCAAAGAGATCATTGACCTCGTCTTGGACCGAATAAGAAAACTGGCTGACCAGTGCACAGGTCTCCAGGGCTTCTTGGTTTTCCACAGCTTTGGTGGGGGAACCGGTTCTGGCTTCACATCCCTGCTGATAGAGTGCCTATCTATTGATTATGGCAAGAAGTCCAAACTGGAGTTCTCCATTTACCCAGCCCCCCAGGTTTCCACAGATGTGGTCGAGCCCTACAACTCCACTCTCACCACCCATACCACCCTGGAGCACTCAGATTGTGCCTTCATGGTAGACAATGAGGCCATCTATGACATCTGCTGCAGAAACCTTGATATTGAACGCCCAACCTACACTAATCTTAATCGCCTTATTAGTCAGATTGTGTCCTCCATCACTGCTTCCCTCAGATTTGATGGTGCCCTGAATGTCGATCTGACAGAATTCCAGACCAACCTGGTGCCCTATCCCCGCATCCACTTCCCTCTGGCCACATATGCCCCTGTTATCTCTGCTGAGAAAGCTTACCATGAACAGCTTTCTGTAGCAGAGATTACCAATGCTTGCTTTGAGCCAGCCGACCAGATGGTGAAATGTGACCCTTGCCATGGTAAATACATGGCTTGCTGCCTGTTGTACCGTGGTGATGTGGTTCCCAAAGATGTCAATGCTGCCATTGCCACCATCAAGACCAAACGCAGCATCCAGTTTGTGGATTGGTGCCCCACTGGCTTCAAGGTTGGTATTAATTACCAGCCTCCCACTGTGGTGTCTGGTGGAGATCTGGCCAAGGTGCAGCGAGCTGTGTGCATGCTGAGCAACACTACAGCCATTGCTGAGGCCTGGGCTTGCCTGGACCACAAGTTTGATCTGATGTATGCCAAGCGTGCCTTTGTTCACTGGTACGTGGGTGAGGGGATGGAGGAAGGAGAGTTTTCTGAGGCCCGTGAGGACATGGCTGCCCTTGAGAAGGATTATGAGGAGGTGGGTGTGGATTCTGTTGAAGGAGAGCACGAGGAAGAAGGAGAAGAGTACTAATTCCTTTCAGCCCTTTAGCATATCACACTCAGAATTGACAAAGCTTTCTGGCTAGGTTGTCTCTATCAATGTAATCATGTCTTATTTTTCCATGTGTTCCTCTAAGATTTTTTTCCCATCATGTCTCAAAGTAAAAAAAAAAAAAAAAGAAAGGCAAAAAAACAAAAACAAAAAACAAAACAAAACAAAAAACCTCAAGTTACCTTAAGCTTTACTCTAGTTTGATCCTTAACCATGAGATATATGTGAATCCAATATCATTTATGCTTATTTTTCCAATGATGCAGTAGAATGTCAGAGGAGCTGAATGATTTAGTTGGGGTCATGGAGAAAAGAAATTACAAAGCATGTATGACAATTCAGATTTCTCCCTTCGAATTTGGTATTATTTCCACTAACATCAAAATTATGGAGGATGAGAGCAACATTTCAAGTGAATTCTACTCTTGCGTTTATGAAAAATAAGGAGAGCCTTGAAAGTTCAGAAAAGTAAAGTAGGTGTATGATAGAAAAAGAAAGAATGAAAAAGTTGAAAACCAATTAAAATAAATAGTCTTGTTATTTCGTTGGTTAGAACAAAAAGGACTAGGTATAAGAGATACAATTATTTCTTCAGTTACAGTTTACTTGTTTTTTTCGTTGAGAAGGCACAGTTATAAAATGGACAGTAATCACATATCTACCATCTAGGTCTCTGAAAAGATGGGGGAAAGCAGGGCACCAGACAGGCACATTTAGGTTGTTGTTAGGTGCTGTTGATTCCATTCCTGATTTATGGTGACTCCTTGCACAACAGAACAAAACACTTCCCAGTCCTGGGCCTTCCCTAAAATGGGTCCCTAGAGACAGAAATCAGTTAACCATAAGTGATGAGCATTCCTTTTCTGGGAGTGTTTGGTCTTATCTGGTAGTTCATGCCTTTGGCAAAAGGAAAATTGGACACCGAAGAGGGAAATTTGACATCAAAGGATATGCTTTTGTCTCTGAGCGTTCTCTACTGGTTGGTAGGAAGGGGGACATAAGTATGCACAACTTGAGTTTCCTCGTGAGCCACAGATCTGCTTGATATTTTCATCTTAAACTCACTATGAGGATAGCATGTCTGTGCCATTACAATAAAGCTGGTATCAGTTGTAAGCACTGAAGATGTTTCCCTGTCCCCTCCCCCATCCCTACTCATTCAAATAAGCTTGTTGTTGTTGATGTTGCATTCATGACTCATCACCACCCTGTGAACAAAAGATCTGAACCTATCCTCACACTTCCTGACACACAAAACTCATTGCAGCAGTCACATGTCAATCCGCCCGGTTGAGGATCTTCCTCTCCTTTGCTGACCCACCTCCCTTCCCAGCTTCATGTCCAAAGTATGTGAGGCAAAGACTCATTATTCTTGCCTCCAAAGAGCTTTCTGGCTGGACTGTCTCCCAGACATATCTGCTTTTTTTGGCTGTCCAGATAAGTGTACAGCCGTTAAAACTTCACAGTTCATAACACTTTAGGCTTCAGAGGGCACAAGCCTGAGGAGAAAAGTCTGAAGGGTTCATTACCTGGATGATTCAACCTTGCAAAACCATTAACCTCATTATGACCCTTTTAAATACACCTGATATTAAATAGTTTTCCTTCTAGGATATAGTGAGCCTATATGTAGGAATAGAACTGTGCTCCAGTAGCTGATTTCTTTAGACATAGATTGCCAGGCCTTTTTTTTTCTGAAGAGTCCCTAAGTAAACTCAAGCTATCAACTCTTGCTTAAGAGTTGAGTACATTACAGCTTGCATCACTAAGAATAACGACTAATAAATACATTATTCTATTTCCATGACTACTTGTGTATCATCAAGTTGGAACCAACCTATAGCTGATCCTCCAGTGGGTTTTTAGAGGCAGTTAATCACACAGGTGGAGAATGCCCATCCTTCTTCCATGGAACAGCTGATGAATTCGAACCTTGTGCCTTCAGGATTGCAGCACAGCTTCTTGCAACTAGGCCACCAGTGCTTTCTATTAAAGGACAATTTCTTGATTTCCACCACAGCCTCCAACAGTGCTTTGCTTAAACTTTTCTTTCTATTCTAAAATACATCCATATTTCAATAGCTAGGTTAGTTAGAGATCTTGGATCATGGAGACAGAAATATTTTGAGTTTATAGGGATACATAATATTCTTGGGCTGCAGAGTATAATCAAGGGCCAGATATGATCATTTTCCTCAGGAATTACTAAAATTAATGAAAAGGCATAACTTAAATTGCCTACAAATGGCAATTGTTTATTTAAAGTTCTTCTTCTGTCCTCCTGGTCACTGACTTTCCCTAGTGGTGGCCAGAATATCTCTTTTTATTTTTCCTTCTCTTCCACTTTCCTCTCCCTCAGCTTCTTTCTATCTTATCCATAAAGTTACCTGGCACAGGGCCAGCAGCCTGTTTACATTTGAACAGAGAAAAGGAGATCAATGCAGTCAGAATCAGGAGGATTCTTACCTGTTGGAGTAAAGGTCCAAAAGCTTTACCTTCTTTTGTGATTCTTTCATCCACAATAGTTTGTATCCTTTGTTATACATTGTGTGACACCTCAGTCATTAACTCAGTTATGCAATGCTAGGACAAAGAAGAGAGTCCTTTCTGAACCCCTAAACTTTCCTCCAACTGTACCTCCTTCTCTTTTTACTTTCCTCTCAGTTCAAGTTATTCTATTTCCTATTTCCTCTTTTCCAAGACGATTTGAGGATTTCAGTCCTTTTTACTTCTCTTATGGTCTTCTGAGGTCCAAAAAGCAAACTTCTCTATTTTCTAGGAGAGTTTACTTTCACATACTAACAATAACCTCAACCATCTCCAACAATTCTACCTCATCCTCTTCTTGCCTCTGTCTTCTCCCAGACCCTAACTATTAAATTATTTGGTAGCAGAATTGTTGAAGAAAAATCTACAGTCATACTCAAGGAAATTGGCACTAAAACTAAGGACAAGGAGAGAAGTAAGTGAAGAGTAGACATTATCTGAACTGAGAACTTTTCTTTTTCAGATGATATAGGCCATGCAGAAATTTCAGGAGGAATCAGTCCTTCGAAAAAGACATC